TTTCCCTCAGAAGCTTCTCCCGCGTGGTATGGCCTTTGTGTTTGTCCATGGTCCACTAATCTACAAATCAAATTTCAACCAAATTGGTCCAGCAGTTTTTGCGTAAAAGAATAACATACATCATAAATTTTCACAAATTTTTACATATTATATTATATTAGTAGAGCTTAGAAGCGATGTGAAAGCTAAACTATGAAAACACAAAACAGCATGTGATGGCTTTAATATTAGGAATTTTCGACTTAATATTTAGAAGGAAGATATAACTGAAAGTGATTGATCAAGTGACAAGTAGATTTTTTTTCTATTTCCACTTCTGGAAAGACATTTTTGTAAAATTTCCCGAGCGTACAGTACGCAGCGTTGGCCGCGCGCCTCAAAGAGCCAATAGACGACCACAGACAAGGGCTTGATATTCAGCCGGGCTTTTGGGGCACCGCGGCCTCGGTCTAGATCAGGAGAAGGAACGGGGGGTTTTTAGTCAGTAAGAGCCTGACCCTGTGCGGGAGAAGTCATATGTTGTTGAACTAATTGTAAAATATACCATAAGGTCTTAAAGTCATGAAAAAACCTGTTTAAATGCTATACAAATCCGGTAAGCCGTAAAGAATTCTAAATTTTGATTTCAAAATTCTCACTAGAAGATTGACCGATTCACTGGCGAAGAGCGTGATATGATACCAACGCATACCTGGCAATCTGTACCGCTATTATTTTGTTTTTAATTCTGAGTGAAACGGGCGTAAGGTCAGTTTTGTTCAGTATTACCGTACTTTGTACCAAAGAGGTTATCAATTTTCCATTTCCCAATCCGAAATACTGAATGTTTAAGTTCAAAACTTTGAGTACATTTTAAAAAGCTTTTAAAGTTTCACTGCGATGGGATTCCGTTTATTTTTTAATGATTCCACGATATCCATCGATGTCTGGCTTTTAACAAAGATATTCAGTACGTTTTAATGTATTTTTAAATACTCAGCATATTCTACGAAGCATCTAATAAAATAGAAATATTTTGCTTATGAACTAGATGGACGGAATAAAGTTTTACGTTAAATATGAACGTTAAACATTAATTACACATAAGTTATTAGCACATTATGATAAAAAATATGTAACGGTTTAAGCAATAATTCTGGCTACACAACCTGCTTTTAACAGAATGGCAAAACAAAAAAGACAAGATGAGCGAAAAGTAAAACAAAAAAGTCTGCACAAATTGCAAAAAAAAGGAAGTATAATTCAAAAAAGGCTAATTACGCTTGTTCTTTCATCACCACCTACTCTGTGGTTTTTTTCGTTTTTCACTAGAGAATGCAACTTCGAAACAATTGTAAGTAGTCTGGAATTCTTGCAGATAGAACAATTAGCGGACCGGAGGTTATTTCTGATGAAAAAGAAACTTCATTTTAACGGAAATGGCTAAAGTTTGAAGAGGTATAATATTAATAATGCCACGATATTTCCAACTGACTTTATGCACTTTTCCCTGTTTCCATTTGCATTTTTTAACCTTACTTTATTCTTTTATCAATAAAGTAAAACATACATTTTATAAAATGGCGCGTACATTTTCTTAAATAAAACACATTTCAAGTTGTTATCTTTTTGAAAACTTTGTTCGAATTTAAATTTTATTATGTTTTTGTTACTAAGTATTTAAAATTCTCGGGTGATTTTAAATAGTTTTTTTAATACATAAATAACATTTATAAACTGTAAGAAACATAATTTTACGAAAACTTAAATTTAAATGGAAAGATAAAGACACAAAATAATTTACAAACGTTAGAAATATGACAACTGATAAAACAACATTGTACCCAAAATAAATTACTGTTCTCAATTTAAAATTACTATTGACGAGTATTCAATGTAATCGACCTTTTTGGTACGCAAACACCCACGTAAAAAGAAACAAAAGCTGTTGTTGAATCGATGTGTCATCGCACTGTTTGTTTAAAAAAGGAACGGAGTGGTATTTGCTCTGGAGCACGATACAGGTCAGTCGTTGGCTGACGGTCGGCTGGTCCATTCTCTCCTAGGCACACTCCCGGACAACAAGGTATTAAGTGCAAATCCCTTTATCTCGACGTCCAGTCGCGTCGCTCATGCGTGGCATTGCTTCCCTGCGTTGCGGGTGTGAGATGAGCGGATACTGACTCGAATTCGTACGGAGAAATCACTTCACATTTTGTCGAGCGTGAGCAGCAAAGATTAGAACAGAATTTCGATGTTTGGATTTAGTTTTAGCCTTTCTTTAAATTACTATTCTTAAGCAAAAATTGCTGGCTTATTGCTTGTTAAGAAAATTATTTAAACCAGGATTTGAGCCATATAGTAACTATTTATATTTGTGGAATTTTACTAAAAGTGTTGCTCCTGTTTTTAAATCTAGCAACATACATAGGTTTATAAATCCAGACCTTATGCCACTCGACTAAATAGGTCACAGTTTTATTTCCAAAAAGGTCATCAACTGTATTAAAGTTTTATTTGTGGACAGTAAAAAACTATAAAGGTGTATGTTCCCGCGGTTTTTATGTCCGCACTAGGTTAGGTCGTCGGTATATTAACGTACACAAGCTTACTGTATCGTGTGGCCGGAATAACGACATTTTGCTATAAAAATCTTCGCCATTATGATCTGAGAGACGTTTTTGCTTCATAAAAGGGCTATTGTAGTGTGCACTACATAAATAAAAACATAATGCGTATTTTCTTAGTACATAAGCGTCTTGGTTTACTTATCAGTGGGTCACAAAATACGTTTTTCTTTTGCTAAAACGTTATAAAAATTGCCTAGGGACGTTTGCTAAAAATCAAAGGCAGTTTTTGTATCCGTTCCGATTTTGAAAAAAGTTGTTTAATGCTTAAAAGTTTTTTAAATAAAATGTTACAAGACATGTTTTACGTCAATTATTACATTTGGTTCTCAGAACAAAGCATTCACTATTTTTTTTCTTTTGGTATGAATATTAAGATATTGTTTGGTTTATTTCCGTGGAAAATGATATGGATTTAAATGTTGCCAGGTTTTTATAGGATAGATTATACTTTTTAGAAATAGGTGATGTGTTTGAAGTTACGTATTTAGGGTGTCGTGTGGGTCTATGACCATGGTCAGTATTGAAATACATCATTCACAATGTGCAAGGCTGATAAAAAACTTATTACTTTTATAATTGCAGTATCTAAGGAAAATTATTCATTCCAATCTTTTTTAAAATAATTTCCGCTAGAAAAGGTCGAATGAGAAGCACTGGATGTGCATTTTTCAGAACTACGATTATACGACGTCGTCGCTCGTCTCAGCTTGAAACGTCTTCCGCTCATATTCATTCCCTTGCAGATATTTTACTACGGCTAATAAACATTATACCTGATATTCACGAGGAGATTGGAACTGCAGTGACGTATTCCAGGCAGACTATTGACTCAGGTATTTTTAAATTCATATTCATTTATTTGCATAAAGTGTACATATAAAAGTGAGGCTTAGAGCTAGTACACTTATGGACCCTTTTAAGTTACAGCAATAACCTAAAATCGGGGATGGGGATTAGGGATATGGATATTTAGGGATTGGGGAAAAGGAAGGTTTAGGCCTCCGGTAACCTCACTCACACGGCGAAACACAACGCTGTGGTTGTTTCACGCCGGTTTTGTTGGTTGAGTTATTTAAATAATAGCCGAAAAGTATATAAAGCTACCATAGACAAACCTAGACCAATTCTCATGACAAAGGAGGTACGATGTGTTGTGATATAGAACCTATAGCTACATAATTATGCGGGTCATTGTTATTAGGTACCTTTGTATGTGTGTGTGCGGGTCTCTTTGTGACAGTCTTTTATTTAATTACTTATGCAAATCGTATCGTATTAAGTTAACTACGTCAATAAACGAAAACATTACACTTTTTAAACCAGCAAAAATGAAAATATATTTTGATATTTTTTTTTTAAACTTGACCTTTTATTGTTTGTTATTTATTTTTGGTCAATTGTACTTACAATGAAATTATATTTGTAACAATGTATTCTTTGCGTGCAAGCATGGCTCCAGTGCTTTTTAAAATGGCCGTCACATTATCTATACTAATATTATAAAGAGGTAAAATTTGTAAGTTAGTAAGTTTGTATGTAGAGATGTGTGTAATGAGATAATCTTTGGAACAGCTGCAGCGATCGGATTGCCAAAATTCTTTTACTGATAGATAGCTACAACGTTCCTGGAGCGCTTTAGGCTAAATAAAACGTCACGCTACCATCAGCTGATAAAAAAAGCTAACGTACAGAATTTATACTTAGACACAATTTTCTCTCAGCTTGAGATATAAGAGTGAAAACAAGATGAAGCACATAGGCTGCTAAGGAATTATGGATAAAGAAGACATATTGACTCTAAGAGACTTCAGTAAGAAGTTGGTAAAACAGGACCTAATCACTTAAGCTCAAGAATTTGTCTTACTGACCCATACGAAACTAGTTCCTTCAAACGAAATTGGCACAAATACCAATACACAGTAGGACATATTTTTGTTTGCACATGACCTAACACCTAACCTTAGAACTATTAATCACGAACAAAAAGGACGGGCTTTTGTGCTAAACGCCGACTTAGCATCGGTCTTAGCGAAGTTGACCCAAACAACATTATACCATTAGAAGGGACTGCTACTCTATAACTTTAACTAGAGTTAGGAGCATCTAACTAATGATTGTGGAATTGACCTACCGTGTGCTTTCTTAGGCTGCGTCTAGAACTAACAGGATGTTCTTATGAATCCACCAAATCCCAAGCGAAAGCCGGCGTTCGCACACATATTGTCTGTCTATTGTCGAATAACCACGATGGAAAGGTTAAAATCGAATGGTATATTTACATCTAAATGTGGGAGAGCCATGCTTCGGCTTGCCCGAAGTGATACCACGGTCGCACAGAAAACTTTCGTGATACAACCACTGCGTTGTGTTTCGCCGTGTAAGTGACGTTACCGTAGGTCCAATCCATATTTTCCACCTCCAATCCCACCCTAATCCCTAAATTATCTGCAGCACTCGTAACTCCTCTATTGTTGCAGGTGTCCAAGGGCGGCGCTGATTGCTTACCATCAGGTAATCCGAAAGCTCCATTGAAGACCTATCTCATAAAAAATGTGTTATAGATCTCTGATTTAAATACTTTTATACAGGAATTTGATACGATGATTAATTATTTGGCAACTATATAACTGCTTGTAACATCAAGGCAGCTGGTTGAACGACTGTTGTTTTACTGTCTTGTTTGTATAGTGGCTTCAAATGCAGCTGCTAAGTGCACAATCTACAACTCTTGGGTCAAAAATCCTCTTTGTGTCCATTGAACAAATTGATTATATTGTCTAATTTATCCATGCATTCTGAAACCACTTAGTTCCTCTGTTCTCACTTAAACTTCTAGTGATCGCCTTAGCAAAGTGCTTGAGCAAGTACAATAAAGGTAGGTTAGATTATGACGTAGCTGGTTGCAATTATTTTTTAAGTTTAATAGTAATTGACTGCACGGTTGGCGCAGTGGCTGGGCAATTGGCTGCTGTGCAACGTGTCGCGGGTTCGATTCCCGCACGGAACAACACTTTGTGTGATCCACAAATTAGTGTGTAGTATGTGAATTTGTATGTTTGTAAACGCACCCACGACACAGGAGAAAATCCTAGTGTTTGGCAACGTGTTTTTATTTAAAGAATTAAAGAAAAAATTAAGAAATGTGATATTCCATTGATAATAGCGTTTGTTAGTCCTTTATAAACATGTCATATACATATACATATATACATCATACCCAAACTTGGAATATCAATTTGCAATCACAATTAACATCAAATATTTATCTACTAATTAATTATTAGATATTAAGCATACCACTGACATGAGACGAAAGAAAAACATCGTGCGAAAAAACCGAGAACTATAATTTCTCAATATAAGTTTGAAGTCGCCAATCCGCTTTCAAGCGAGGTGGTTAATACTTAAACATTTTCCGTGGCAGTGACTCCGCAGTGAACACTTAAAGGCTGATGATGGAATGTGGTACTCAGTTTTACCTACCATAATATAATAATAATAATAATAGCTGTTGTATTCCAATGCAGCCAGTCTTGATTATGGAGGTAAATTAATACTAGAATATCAAGCCAAAGTTACAAGAGCCTTGGGGCTCATTTGAAAATTATCTGCTTGGTCGACTATACAACAGAACGGTATGAATACGCCTTTATCCGCTCAGTTGCTAATGTCATAAGCCATGAGCCCACTTGTTACTTAGGCTTATTACAGATCCGGCTCCAAGTTAGCTCCTAATCGCTGCCAGCCTTTATTAGGCACTCACCCTTTGATTAAGGACAATTTTCATATTAAGGCTTAAGCAAACTATCGAGTTTAGTTTTGGATAAGCCGATTATGTGTGATAGACAACCGCCATATCATATGAGAGGTCTTTATGGGACAGGCAAAGGTGAATGAAATAAGAAATAACATTATGATAGGTATAACACCTATATATACATAGGTTATTTGTATTTAGAAATCTGCCATGTTGAGTTCGATTGTCGGTTTCAAGGTTTTGAGCTTTTAATATTTAAAAATATATGTTTAGCAGTTAGGAATTAAAATAGTTCCGATAGCTCGGAGTTTAGGGCACCCGTTTCTCATGCACGAGGGTGCGGGTTCGAAACCTGGCGATAACCAATGTGACTTTACCCGACTTATATGTACTATGATTTATACAACACTGACATACGGTGAAAGAAAACATCGTGATGAAACGTGGACTTTTAATTTCTAATTTTAAGTTTGAAGCCTTAATCCTTCTCAGTGTGCGAAGAGGTCTTTGCCTTATAGGCTGTTGATTTGATGATGTGAGTTTGGGATTGTGTAAGCTATTGGGTAAATACTCCTTCTTTTTAAACTATGGTAAAAAGTAGGTTATATATTTGGACGTACTTCGCCCATGGCATTAAGTTAAAAGCCGTGATGACACGTAGAAATGTATTTTCACCTCTGTCTCCAAACGACATTGAGGTGTGAACTTAAAATTAAATCGTAAAATTTGATTTAAAGTTTTACCAAACTTCTCGAAATACCCTTCGTATTTAAATATCACTTGATTTAGAGAATTCAAATGTAAATTTGAATTTGAAAATCTGATTGATAGTTCAAAGGTGTTTTTAGGGTTCGATACAAAAGGGCGAGAACGAAACCTTTGATTTGTACTTTTAGTTTTGTTAAGATTTTTTATTTTAATCAATAATATTTAGTAACTAGTATCTTCGTCGATGCTTTAAAAAGTATATATTCTTTTTATTCCGAAAACAACGTTTTTTTAGTGTTTACTATGATGATGTTTTTTCGTGTTTTACATTTAAGTGTGGGAGAGCCAAGCTTCGGCACGAATGGGTCGGCTCGACCGGAGTGCTACCACGGCCTCACAGAATACCGGCGTGAAACAACCCACAGCGTTGTATTATCCCTTCCCAATCCTTATATCCACAACCCCTATCCCCAAAAGGCCGGCAACGCACTCGTAACTTTGGTGTTGCGGGTGTCCATGGGCGGCGCCGATTGCTTACCATCAGGTATTTCGTCTGCTTTAGATCTTTTTTTAACTTAAACTATATTTTACGTGAGTTTCTCAATTTGGGCATGGATGATGGCGATCCTATATCGAATGCTTAAGAGACTAGACCTATTAACATGTGCAAAGCAACAAACAAAACATCTCTTCAACGAATGCCTTACAACATTATAAAAAGAAAAAAAGCAGTTCACACAAAGATTATAATTAAAACTTTTTGTCAAAACATACGTACTAAGTCACTATAACTGACCTTCCTAACAGCTTGTAACCCCAAAACAAGTCTACATCAGACCAATAAGTCATTACTCAACCTCTGACACAATCACTGTTAGGTATGTCCCATTTGTTTTCGTAAACAAGAAAAATGCTCACCTAAGCTCCAACAAATAAGGTCCTAGTGGCTGGCACAAAATGATATAGGAACGTAAATCATACATGGTTTGTGGGCCTGTCACATTCGTAGTATACTGAGCAATTAATTGGTCCCTGATTCTGATATGGAACCTGTTTGGGCAGTTGTCGGATGCAGGCTGTGTGAATGTTAGTCGGATATGACTGTTGATTGTTGATTATTGCGATTTATTGGTTATGTTGTTGTAGCTTTAAGTGTGGAAGAGCCATGCTTCGGCACGAATGGGTCCACTCGATCGGAGTAATACCACGGTCACACAGAAAACTGGCGTGAAACAACCACAACGTTGTATTTCGCCGTGTGAATGAGGTCACCGGACGCCCAATCCTTGTCCTCCCCCAATCCCTTGTCATTCCCAAAATCTTCAAATCCCTAATCCCCAAAAGATCGGCAAAGCACTTGTAACTCCTCCGTTCGTTGCGAATGTCCATGGGTGGCACCGATTGCTTCGTTGCATTGAGGGCCTACTGTCTTTGTAAGCTGAGAAATTCGAACTTATTTTCTGTTTTAAGGGTATGAGGTATGAGACCGATCGACCGAGAGAAGTAATTGGATTATTTTCTAACGATAAAAGAAGATTCAATCATATTGAGTTACATCTACACATTTGTGGAACTGAACTCAAGATGTCTGTGTGACGATGCACAATGAACATTCTTCGACAATACTACATCAACGGGTGACATCACAAATCCTACATCGCTTAAGTGAAGTTTGCGCAGATTAGCGTGGATAGAATGTCTTAAGGTACAAACTGTTGGACAGTAGCCCTCTAGGAATGATTACCTTGTCTGGCCGGAGGATCCTGTTTTTCCGATCTTAGAGAACTTTACTTGATGGTCCCTAATGTCAAAAATATGGGTTTTAAACGAAAACTATACGTACAGATAGTTTGTTTACCCTTCAAAGTTTTTTTTAAACCAGTTATAGTTGTTGTATTTTTTTATTCCTTACATATTGTGTATTCTTTGCATTTTTTGCTCCTTTAAAGTATGCTATTTTAGTAAGAATGTATTAAAATTTTCTATACTAAAATGGCAAAAATAATATGTTTTTGAAAGCAAGTCCTGTTGGCTTCACAACCATTTGCCATTGTTATTTGTTTACTGACAGAAAGTCCTGAAACTCTGTAATCGTTTTTGCGTCACAACTTTTTGAATGTTGAGTGAAATTTTAATGTTCATGAAGTTACTTTTTTTTTCAAACAATATAAAAATTGTATGCAGTATTGTGTTTTATATTATTTTAATAACTTTTGTATTTTTTTCTAGTAAATAAATTATGGGTAGATTATATTTAGTGTTATTGTTTTTGTACATCGATCAAAGTAATGTTTGGTGGTTGTAAAAATAACAGTCGAATTAATATTTATCACATTTTTTATAGAACAAAGGTCAAGATAATTAGTTGCAACGCACTACAATGGTCGTAATAAAATCATAAGCATTGCTAAGGAAAAAAGTAGCTCTGAATATTAGTAGCCAGTAAAAAAAAAATACAAGACCAAGACAGTATTCTAATCACAACATCAATTAACTTTTTATCTCCATACAAAAGGCACAAAGATATTAATTAAAATATACCCCAGGGGCCCAAATTTTAATAAGTTAATTAAGATCCAGAATAAACGCCCCACCAGACATTCGATAAATCGTAACGAGTAAAAACTAAATTATTGTAACTTCGCAATGTTGTGCAATTAAAAAGAATCCTTTTTAATTGGCCTGCACTGTTGGCGCGGTGGCTAGCACTGGCAGCCGACCTGACTGACTGCCACGTCCACTCTTGCCTGACTGCAGCGCAATGTGCCGCAGGTTCTTTTCCTGCACGGAACAACCACAAATTGGTGTTTCGAGTCTGGATGTGACGCCAGCCACGCTAAGAGCTCATATCTGTACAGTTAACTGCAAGACGTTCGACGCGTCGTGTGTCATGCAATCTCTGCTTGACTTCAGTGATGTCTAGAAGAGAAAATAAAGATCTATGTTGTAAAACTATAAATACAACTACTATAAAAAAGAAAGTTCCAAACCTTCTGTGAATATTCACGTTGTGGCATCGGCCAGATTAATGATGGCGTTGTTCCAGCTTACAAACTATAGCACTGCGCTGGTATTGCAAGTTCTTATTAATGGACTTAAAACTTCAGGTGGACGACAGTTCACGCTCTAGTGGAACGTAACTTAGATACTGTTTTAAAGACAGATATTTTACTTTGAACTATTCTTACTTGAGGAAATAATATAAATATTCTTATATTCTTCTACGGTGAAGTCAGCCAACTTGTTTAGTATGCAGATAAGAAAATAAAACTGGTTCAGAACAATAAAGATGAAGCATTTACTCATTATTTTATTTTTGATTGAGTAAATAAAATGTGAGACGACTTTCATGTTGTTTTTTTCATAAGTGGCTTATATTTCGGACATGTTTTTTTTGAAACATTGCCCGACAACACCATTTTTTCCTTTGTCGTGGTAGGTTTACAAACATACAATTTCACACATCACATCTACACCCGGAATAACAGTTTGTGGATCACACAAAGAGTCGTTCCGTTCTGCAGCCAGTTGCCCAACCACCATGTAACCACATTATTTTGCTACTGTGGATATTAGGTGCGGGAGAACCAAGCTTCGGCACAAATGGGTCAGCCCGACCGAAGTGAAATACCACGGCCTCACAGAAAACCCTTCCCCCCAATCGCCAAATCTCTTTAACCATAATCCCCAAAAGGCCGGCAACGCACTGGTAACTTCTTTGGGGGTATCCATGGGCGGCGCCGAATGACTACTATCACGTAATCTGTCTGGTCTTCTACCGATTTATCACATAAAAAAGATGAATAGAATTTCTTGCCAGAACCTGTGTTTTGCCTCTTCAAGTTTCTAGTACCTACTTTAAGGCAAGCGTGCCAGTCCAAGCGAGTTATTAGCCAAATGCTGGCCTATAAAGTAAAAAAGAACACCCATACTGATTTTGTAGAAGAAAACTGTAGCGGCAGAACAATACACAACAGGAGTTGAGTTGTTGAAATATAAATGAAAAAAAAGTACAAAGGAAAATAACCTTTAATCAATCTACTTTGTTTCGTTTTCCAACCAATCTTGGTGGCAAGGTCAAGTAAATATTTACGGGAGTTGTTCCGTCGTTCTAACAGGACGATATCGAATTTTCTTTTAGGTTAGCTCAGTTAATATTAGCAAGTGTTTGAACTCGATCGAAATGTTTTGGAAGAACAACAAGCTTGTGGTGTTACAGGAGTGGGCAGAGGCATGTTTTCTATACACAATGTTCTGTTTGTTTTTAACTTAAATACAAAATAGTATGAATGAACTCATTCTTACTACTTTGCTTGTAAAGG